TGGTCCTGAGGGTTACAATGGCAAATTTTATAGAAAATGTTGGTCTGTGGTGGGGTAGATGTTTTGAGAGCTGTTCAGGAATTCTTTTTGGGCTTCCCTATCCCAAATGGAATGTCTAGTGCTACACTGGTGCTTATTCCCAAAAAGGACAATCCTGGCACTTTTTCTGACTTCAGGCCTATCTGTTTGTCCACTTTTCTGAGTAAAATCTGCACTAAAATTATAGTCTCTAGACTGGCCAGTATTCTACCTAAAATTATTTCTAAAGAGCAGGCTGGTTTTATGACGAATAGGGACATTACTGATCAGGTGCTTATTGCTTAGGAAATGATACACAGTATTGATAAAAAGGTTAGGGGGTCTAATTTGGTGATTAAATTAGATATGGCCAAGGCCTTTGATAAATTATCCTGGAAGTTCCTTTCTGATATCCTACTGAAGTTTGGATTTTCTGCTATGTTTGTGAAGCTGATTTTGAATAATCTTCAAGCTACCAACCTCTTTGTTTTGATTAATGGCTCTCCTTATGGTTTTTTTAAGCCTAGTAGGGGGGTTAAGCAAGGAGATCCTTTGTCCCCTTTCTTGTTTATTGTAGCTTCGGAGGCATTCTCTAGGGGACTTAATCATTTAATGGATCAAAGAAAAATCAAGCCTTACTAGATGGGGAAATTTGGATTTCCTGTATCTCATCTAGGGTATGCTGATGACCTACTTGTGTTTCTAAATGGTGACTCCAGATCTATATTAAATTTCAATAAGTTTCTGAAGGATTATTAGATCTCTTCTGGGCAGACTGTCAACTTGGAAAAGAGCTTATTCTTGTGTGGCAAAGCTTCCTTAAGACGCATCAATCATATTAAGGATCTTCTTGGTATGAATAAAGCAAATCTACCAATCTGATACTTGGGGGTTAACCTGCATAAAGGGATCAACAGGGCTGAGTACTGTGATTATATCATTAATCAGTTTGAAAAGAAACTTACTACTTGGAAGCAAAAGAACTTATCTCAGGGTGGGAGATTGATCTTAATTAAACATGTGCTTAACTCCATTCCTCTACATGTCCTAGCTGTTGACACATTACCAAAGAAAGTAATCAGGATACTTAACACCAAAATGGCATGCTTTCTTTGGGGATCTTCATGGAAAAAGAAAAAGTTTCATTGGCCGAAATGGGAGCATCTGTGTTTTCCTACAGAGGAAGGGGGTCTGGGTATCAGGACCCTTCTGATATTGAAAAGGCTTTTACTCTCAAGCTTTGGTGGAAATGGAAAACTGGTGAATCCATATGGACTGATTTTATTAAAATGACATATGCAAGGGAAGGGGATATGATACCTAGAATCTCAGATTCTTCAGTCTGGAGAAGGATTTGCAATGTTCACAGTTATGCTTCTTCTTTGTGCACCGAGTCTTCTTCTGGAATCATTACCTGGAATGAGGAAACAAATGGTCATTTTTTTCTGAAGTCAGTTTATAATGAAGTGAGGAATCACATTCTACCTACTCTTTCATTCAAGCATCTTTGGAATCCTAAGCACGAACTTAAAATCAAAATGCTTCCCTGGAAAATCATCAAAGGTATTCTGCCATTTCCAGAAAAATTAAACAGGTTTCACATTATGCTCAATCCATCTATTTGCCCTATTTGTAAGAATAGTGGTGCCTCCTTGGAACATGTTTTTTACAGATTTAGTAAGGTGCAACCTGTTTGGGGTTACTTTATGAGCATTCTGGGCATTCCGGTGCCTGTGGGAAATATATCAATTCTACAAATCTTCAGAAATTGCTGGCTCAAAGCAGGTTCCATAGATATGTTGGACTTATTCAGACATAATATTTCAGGAATAATTTGTGGGCATATTTGGAAAATCTTTTCTAATCATCAATGGGGAGAGGGGAATATTACCACTTCTACTGAACGTATTGTTCTATCTATTAGAGCATCTCCAATGCTCATGCTTTTAACAGTAAAAATTCGAGCCACGTAGTCATCTACGAAAGTTGTTCAATTTTTGTTGCTTCAATGCTCTCTTTTTTCGGCAACGTGATGTTGAGCTGTCAAGATTGGATGTCAACACTTTGAGACGCACTTTCTAGTTCTCGAAAGCCAGTTATAAAGGCTGAGTCAGCAAATCAACCTCCTTAAAATATATCCGGATCGTAAAATAGGCGCTCTAAAAAATTCAGTAAAATATATATGGCGCCAATCTCCTAAAAATATACCGCCAAATACATTTTGCTGGAGAAACTCATGATATATACTAATCCAATCTCATATTTATTCATCAGCGGCAGTATTCTCTAGAAATCAGTACATCGGTGGGTGTATAGATTAGCAAAGCTTTTTACCTTTATTCAAAGTTTTTGCCCTAGCTTCTTAATCTTGATCGATCTTATACGTATAGGTATACCCCAATCACAGGAGTCCCACAATCATAATTAGAATGTGTTTTCTATCTCTGTGAATGGATTGACCAGGTATTTGGAGATGCTTTCTGAACTTTTCTTTATTCTTATTCCTTTTTGAAGATTGTTTATCTGGGTAATACAAGATGAATTAATCATATATTGATCACTCTTTTTGTACTTCGATAGATATTTTTTGATTGATTCAATTAGGTGTAAAGGATGTCATCGATATTATGCCCCAATTGCATCTGTCTGAGATCGTAGCAAGCCTGGCAGTTTATCTGGAACACTGCTATCATTGAGACTGGGACCAAGCATTATTTATTTTCTGGTAATGGTGCTTTGCACAAATTTCTCTTTTAACATTTTATACGAAGTATTTGATTGACTTGATATTGAATATTAAAAATGATTTCAATAGTGATAAGATTTCTGCATTTGTTTGATTGGCATGATACTGAATACTACTGGTAACGGAGTAATCTTTTAATTATTGGCCAGCAACTATCATTAATGGGGCTGATATGTTTGTCCCAACAATATCCCATTACTTTTCATTTAATTTAGTGCTCTTATATACTTTTTACATTCACTAAGTATGCTTTTAGTATATGCATCCACAATACTCATTGGTTCTTCGGTTCTTCCTTACAATCTTTATCACTTTCTAATATTAAAGCAGCTTCATATTCTAAGTTTTGACATAACCCACAATTTGGCAGAACAACTATAGTGATATATATATATATATATATATATATATTGTTATCTTCTCCTTTCTACATAATTGTTATCCTAGTGTGTCATACTTTTGTCTCTAATAAGAACTCTCTTTTTCAAGGAGTACGTGGTGGTGATCAATAGGAAATATTACAATAGCAACAAATGGATTCTCAGGAAAATGTTAATATTTCATTTTCTAGCATTAGTGAATCTGCCAATTACAGAATGCCATCCTATAATTTGAACCAGTTTAGTCCGTTGAACATTCCGGTGCAGCCTATGTATCATTTTGATCAAAGTAATGGATCATATGCTATTCATGGTGATCAACAAAATGTGCCTATATTCTCCTTTCAAAACATGATGAATACTCCTGCTGCTACTCAAAACTGTGAGACTATGAGTGGATCAACTAAGAGGGTTGAGCACATTAAAGATCCTAATGCCCCTCCACCTGCAAAACTTAAGAACGACTGGACATCAGAAGAGGAGATTGCATTGACAGAGGCATGGTTGCATATATCTATGGATGCTGATGTGGGAACTAATCAAAAGAGTACAGCTATGTGGAATCGTATACTAGAAGTCTGGAAGGAGAAAATGGGACCTGGGCATAAAAAATCTAGAACTAATAACAGTATACAGTGTCACTGGTTCCAAATTCGAAGTGCAGTATCCAAGTTTGTTGCAAAATATGAGCAACTAGAAAGATATCCAAAAAGTGGTACCAACTCAGAGGACTTGGTAAGAGCATTATCTTGTTTTTAAATTTAAAATACTTTATGAATTTATTTATTTATTGTTTTCTATAGCTAAGGAAAGCATTGGAGTTATACAAAGATTTTTATGGGACTCATTTCAAGCATCTCCATTGTTGGACTATTTTGGTCAAGAATGCAAAGTGGTGTTCTACGAATCTTACAAGGACTGGCGTACAAGCTAAAGGAAACTCTGATCAAATTAATTCTCCACCGGTAGATGACTCTGCAGCTAGTATCATCAAAGATCAAGTTTTGCCTGAAAACATTAACCAGGAAGGTGTTGTGCGTCCACAAGGAAGGAAAGCTTGTAAGGAGAAAAAGCGAAAGCTCAATGAACAAGACGGCGTTGCGGATGCATTGAATAAGATCCAAAGTACTTTTGATAAACAGGTCAATTACAATATTACCAGCTTGGAGTTGAAAAAAGTGAAGGATGAAAAAGAACTTCAACTAAAAGAGCAAGTGATGAAAGAAGAGATAGAACTGAAAAAAAATGCTCAAAAGTTTAAGGTGGAAGCTCATGCAATGCAATTAAAAGAACAAAGGAGGCAAGACATCATGAACCAAGATCTAAGCAAGTTGTCACCATCAGTGCGAGCTTCTTATGAAGACATGCAAGCTCAGATTTTAAAACAATGGCAAATAGATGGCCTCTGATCTTCTAAACATAGGTAGCAAGTGTTGATGTTTTAGGTTTAGTTTAGTACTTTGTCCTACTGTTGTTTTGCAAGTTCTTTTTTACTATGCTCTTTAGTACATGTTTTATATCAGTGAAATTTTTATTCCATTTTTATATACTTCACTAAGATTAAATGAAGGGTCATTGTCAGGAACCTAAAGCTGAAATGCAGTGAACCAAAACTTAGTAAAATAGTAAATTGTCCAATTTGACTAGACAGGACCTGCATACCAAATTCTACTAATGATTATTAAGACTTAAGTGGCGTACACCCAAATTCATGTAAATAACACTTCATCATAAATCAATTAATATTTATATGTATGAGATGTAAGGTAAGACATAAAAATCATTGTACCCAATAGCTTTATGGCTCACACATAAACGTGTTTTGAAATAAAAAAGGTGAAAAAACTAAAAACCATTGTTTCATATTTAATTAAATCACTAAGAATATAACTAAATCACTCTCACTATATAAAAATATAACACTCCATTGTTTCACATTTTATTATAAGCAGAATATGAATTAAAACATCTAATATAAAAAAAAAGCTAAAAACTAAAAAACATGCAGTACGAAATTAATAATCTATTTTTTCGAATAAAAGACTGATAAATCAATCAACATGGTTGCTGCCATATAGTTCCCACAAATGATTGATGAGATCACGCTTCAAGTCTATATGTGTCGATTTGCTTTGTATTTGTTTCATTCGAATATTCATCATCGACATGAGAAAAGTAAAATCATGCTCCAAAGTAATATTTTGAGGGACTTCTTCTTTATCTGGTTGCCAGTTTTCAGGATTGATTCCTTGATTGCATTCGTCCTCAATGATCATATTATGCAAAATGATGCATGTCTTCATTATTTTACCCAAATCTGTTGCACTCCACATACGTGCTGGTCCTTTAACTATACGCCACCGACTTTGTAACACTCCAAATGCTCGCTCGACATCTTTTCGTATCGATTCTTGGCGTTTTGCAAATAACTTTTCCTTCATAGAACATGGTTGTGAGATTGTTTGGACTAAAGTGGCATATTTGGGATAAATACCATCACATAAGTAGTATCCCATATTATATTGATGACCATTTACTATGAACTCACATGCCGGAGCAATATCATTGACGATATCGTCAAACAAGGGAGATCTATCGAGGACATTAACATCATTATTAGTACCAGCCATGCCAAAGAATGCATGCCAAATCCATAAATTATGCCCGGCTACAATCTCAAGAATAAGAGTTGGAACTTTCTTAAAACCGTTAGTATGTGTTCCATGCCATGCAGTCGGGCAATTTTCCCAATGCCAATGCATGCAATCTAAACTACCAAGCATACCTGGAAATCCACGAGACTCTCCATCTGCTAATAAAATGCTAATATCGGATTTATTTGGTTTCCTTAAATATTGTTTTTCAAACAATCCTATTATAGCATCACAGAATTTCTTTAAACTTTCAATTGCAGTGCTCTCTCCAATTTGCACATATTCATCAAGAGAATCAGCTGAACATCCATATGCAAGCATGCGTACTGCCGCTACCACTTTTTGTAAAGGACTCAACCCCATATTTCCAACTGCATCCACCTTTTGGGTGAAGTAATTTCCATAACCCTCAACAGCTTGCAAAATTCGTTTGAATAGATCAATATTCATTCGAAATCGACGCCTAAAAGTATCCGGTGTATACTTTGACTGATCACCTATGAAATAATCACTAAATATTATATCATGACGTTTTTTCCTATCACGTCGAGTATAAACTCTACCGAATTTTGAACCGCCGTGTGGGAGCTTTCTTTCCACAGACAATGTTGAAATTATCATAGGAACATGAATTGCACACGCTTCAATTAAATTGTTATTTGTTTCATCATAAAAATCTTCCTCCTCCAATGGCTCATCAAATAACTTTTTAGCAAGTGAGAGGGATTCTGTGCTTGATGTTCCGCTTCCAGAGTCTGATTCATTGTTCAACAATGACATTTATTATAATTTGAACCTGTTGAAAGTAGGTAATTAGGTTCATAACATGTTAAGATGTTTTTGATTGGACTTATTTGTCTGTTATAAAATACATATAGACCATACATGAACAAGACCAAACACTAGTTTAGACCAAATCAGAAAATTTAAGTTGGTTAAAAGATATCCTTTTAATCACAATAGGAATTGAACTACGTACTGTAACATACCAACATTTATAAGAGACAAGAATAGCATATTTAATAATACAAAAGTAATGATGTTATTAAATCAAATTACTTTAATTTAACCATATGCACGTATGTTATTACTTTTTCAGAAAAAATTTAAATTAAATTAAATTAACTTATTGAAATTAACCACCTTTAAGATCCCTTGCCTGGAGAAAGTGCTTCAAAGAAGTACGTGATCTGCAGATTAGAAATAACAGATATAGAAATTGTGTATTCAATGGGCAAATTTGTTAACAAAAAGGGAAAATCAAGGAGAAATTATTTAGAGAACAAACTAAAGTAAAAAGCTTGGCAAGAGGATTGTTGGCAATACCCCAATAGGCGACGACTTGAATGCTTGATCGTGAATCTGGGATGGAGTTTGAACTAGGGAAAATCTGGGGTTTCTATTTATTAAATAATTAAATATATTCCACATATACAAAACGGTTAAACAACAACGTCATGCATTGGGGAGCCATTTAATACTTTTCTAGTTTGAGTTTTAACATTGATCCTACATGTATATACATTCCATACATATATTGACATGTGTCACCAATTTTTTAATGTTAAAAGCCTCACATTGGAGATGCTCTTAAACTTTACACGCAAGACTGGGCCCACTCCTTAAAAGAAGTTAAAATTCGTTCAGTAGATAAGGTTCTTTATGAAGAACAGCTTATCAGAAATGATTTCCGATTCAGGGGCTACAAACCGCAGGTTATTAAATGGCAGAGACCTATTGGGGCGTTGAAATTGAACACAGATGCTCGGTTTTTACCTGGTTTGTCTTCAGGAGGTGCTATCTTAAGGAACCGAAGGGGCGAGCTTGTTAGTGCAGCTAGCTTTGACATCGATGCTTCTTGTGCTCTTGAGGTTGAGTTACAAGCCATCTCGGTTGGCTTAAGGTGGACAGTGAGTGAGGGCCTCACTGAATTTCAGATTGAAAACGATTCGGCCATGGCGGTCGATTATCTGGCTGTTGATGGAATGAGAAGATGGAGAAACCTAATTCAGGAAACTAAGCAGATCGCGAATAGGAAAGTTATTTCCTTTCGACATGTTCTTCAGGAAGCTAATGGGGCCGCTCATTTCCTTGCTCAGGCCCACTGCTCGGGTCCAATTCAGATTATTACCAGGCCGGATAGTCTTCCAACTTTAGCCAAGAGGGCTTATATTATGGACTTACTTGGTATTTCATCCTTTCGGTTTAAATTGCAATATTAGATTGCAATAAAAAAATTTCCGATGTATCAAAAGAGATTGCAATAAAATGAAATTACGACGTTTTGACATAAGCTTATTGATTAGATTGCAATAAAATGCAGTTAAGATGTTTTCACTTAAACTTATTTCAATCCCAAATCAGAGATTAAACCAGTTTTAAGTAAATTTGACCAAACTAAACTCAAACAGTAGTAAAATACAATATACCATATATTTGCAAAATCAGAGTAAAAAATTAAATTAAACCAAACTTAAATGATTAGTCAACAAGAAGGCAGTTTAATTTCTTTCATATGATTTTTCCTTTATTTTATTAATAAAATATATCTAAAATATGCGCATTCAAAATTTAGGTATCATGAACTCTACTTTCTAAAATTTATTATGTGTATTCATGAAGGTGGCGGTACCTTGGATTTGTTAAACCCATTTTAATGGTTACTTAGACCATTTCAATGCAAAGCGTGAAAGGTGCACATGTGACATAAGAGAGATAGACACGCAAAAATTAATTACCAGAAAATATTTTTCTTTATTTGAATGGTCATATATGTTACTTGAATTAACAATGGATCTCATTAAATTTTCATATCATAAAAAAACATAACTAAAGGCACACACGAGCAGAAAATCCAAAAATCAGCATGTCAAATAACGTTTGTGATTCATCAGAAAACAAGGAAAAGTGTGGGGCCATGGTCGTGAAGTGTGCTTTGTCGTGGGTGCCAACTTACGATTACGATTAGTTTTCACATGAAGGCTAACACTAGGTGAGATGAAGGAAAATCAGAACAAAAACGTGAATAGATAGAGGAAAATAACAAGTGTGCAAAATAATAAGAGAGGGATTAGGACAATGCCTCTCCAGATAAGGCATCCCTTTCCAAAATACATCAACAAATATTCAAATGAAATCGAAATAAAAGACATAATGGGGGGCTGGACCTGACCCATTAGAATTACAAAAATCAAAATTTTAAATAAGGATAGTCAAGAAGGTTTGTGAAGTAATATATCCGGGCTGAAAAAGGAAGCCCATTCCACTTGATGAAAAAAAATTAAACTGGCCCATTACATATATCTCACGTGAAAATGGAAGTGCTGCAACTAACGCGTATATATTTCCATACCAAATACGTTTTCACAGGTAATATTCGTGCCAAACCCGTGCTTGACCCGTGCAAACCCCGCTATTTATTGTAGTGTATAAAACGATCGACACATTATTCCCTGTCATTTTCATTTCTTATTCTTTACTTATTAACAATTACGTTGTGTCTTTAATACTTCCTTTGTCCCAAATTAATTTCGTCTGACACATTTTAGACCATTTCCGATGCAAAACGTGAAAGGTGCACACGTAACACGTACGATAACAAGAGATAAATATACACATAAAAAATAATAATTAGAACATCTTTCTTGTTTTTGGAACGGTCATACATCGGATGTTTTTACTTGGACTGTAATTTGTCCCAAACCAGACCAGACCAGACCAGTCCAGACCAGACCACACTTTGATAGTAATAAAAATACAAAGAAACCAGACCTTACCAGACCAGACTAGACCAGTTCAGACCAGACCTGACCAGACCAGACCAGATCAGACCAGCAAATTACAGTCCAAGTAAAAACATCCATAGTATACAGTTAAGAATGGATCTCATTAAATTTTCACATCATAAAAAACATAATTAAAGACATACACGAGGAGAAAATCCTAAAATCGTCATGCCAAATAACGTTTGTGAGTGGAAAACCAGCAAAAGCGCGAGGCCACGATTGCGATTTGTTTAAACCTCGTTTCTTACCAAGTGTTTCTCCCTTTCTCCCTTTCTTAGTAGAAATTAACGTTATAAACTATATTTTACAAATCTTTATCAAATAATTGTTAGAAAAGTCTAAGACAATAATCATCTCAACATGTTTGCAATTTCAATCTTTCTGTTAGGACATCTGTAATAGCAAGGTTACATAAAGGATGTGTCATATGTTCCTGGATTGACACACATCTTGCTTAACATTGGACAATTATGTGATATAAAAGGATGCATGTTCACATTTTTGTCTGCAACATTCTTATTTCTCTCTTTTTGTTTTTGTTTCAGATTACATGATATGAAACCTTTTGATTCAAGATTTAATTTGGTGGTTTTGGCTGTGTAGATTTTGGATCGCATTTTTGGTAACTTTTTCTTTCATTTTCATATTTTATTTTCTACTTTTTTACATTTTCTCGTCTCTTTAATACTACCTCGATCCGTTCTTAAATAGTTGTAGCATTAGAAAGTTTATATTCTAGAGATCAGTAGCGATTAATGGGCCGTAAGCTCACTCCTCTTAACAATAATTTAGGAACCTGTCGCATGAGAGATCAGCCTGATCCCTAAATTATTGTACTCTACAATAACTTAGTAATGATTAGCTAGGCTCAGTTAAATCAATTTCATATAATTAACCCTGATCTGCCAGAAATCTGGTTACCCCGGAATCAATCATTGTTCCCTTCGTCATTAATTAGAGAGAAAACAATTTTATTTTAATCGTTTAGTTGAAATTTAATTTTCCAAACCACCAATCTCGCACAATTGCTTTTATTGTATTTCTTTTTAATCGATGAATTTAGTTAATTCTTATTTCTCTTTTTGTTCATCCCTGTGGAGACGATCTCGTACTTTCATTACTTTACTACAATCTTTTTAAATGCGAGAAAACTCACATCAAATGTCTCTCTGGCTGGTTATGAGAAATTCTCTTGGACATGTGAATATCGTTCCATGACAGTATCAAGTGATTCAACCATTTTTAATGTTACCAAATATATTCTAAATAATTGAAACATAATCAATTCAAAAACTCTTTTAGTGCATTTAGGTGGGGTGTAATCTAACATAAACTATTTTTCAAGTGCAACGAGTTAAAGAGATAAAATAAAAGTTAAAATTAGTTGACTCTTGAGAGCCCTTAATAATAAAGCTGCAAAAAGTTAGAGGAGTGGAAGGCAAATATGAGAAACTTGTAAATGACAACACCAAACCTGAAAGAACCCTTGCATGAAGACCAGGTGTCTTTGGAAGCAGAACACTTCCTCCTGCATGTCTTCCCACGTGCTCTTCCAATTCCGCGAATTAATTAATCGCTCCCATCTGAACTCTACATACACAGTCATACACACCTCACTGGCCAATCCCTTTTGGATCCTCCATATCTGCTAGCTGCCTTTCCTTCTTCCAAGTAAATTTAAGACGTTAGATCAGAGAGTTGAAGTTTATTAATTTGCGCATTTCAAATGTATTTCAGCCTTCTTGAGTTTTTCAAAAAGAAGAGGAGAAAACACCAACTAGTTTGGATCCAATCTTAGTGGAAAGATAGTAAGAATATATGGATGTATGCAATTTTTTTTGTTATTGGTTCTTGGCTAACCATTTGATTTGATTCTTATAATATTACCAATTGATTATTTATTCGACAGAAATATAAACATATATGGTCCAACTCGATGAGACGCTAATACTAATAATTAAATGAGTAGTGACTGGCTACAATTTCTATCTACAAAACATTTTGGATGTTTTTATAATTTGCTGGCCGGATCTAGTTTGTTTAAGTCTGGTATGATCTGAACTGGTCTGGTAAACGTCTGGTCTCTGTGTATTTTATAACTACGGAAGTCAAGTTTGGTTTGCTTAAGTGTGGTTTCATCTGATCTGTTTAAGTCAGGTCTGGTTTAATCTGATCTGGTCTGTTTATGTCTGGTCTGATCTAGGACTGAAACAGTCCAAAGTAAAAACATTCTTACAACTTAATAGTTTGGATCAATTCGTATGTAATTAGTAGTAGTGTATTTAATGTAAATTCAACTTAATCCTTTATTTTTTTGGTCAAATGAATCGTTGCATCTCTTACAAGTAGGTAGTATTATGTACAATCTTGTGTTTCTTTTTAATTGAACATCGATAACTTTACACTATTTACGTGCTCTAATTTGACTTCATTTTATTTATTGAATGTATGAGAATATTTTTGAGAGAATTCCCTAAATAGGAGTAAAAACGTTTTGAAATTCCAAAATAGGAGTATCATGTTTTTTATTCCCTGAATAAGAGTAAATTTCTGCCAAGTTTGGCATTACAAGGTTTTTAAACATGACATTTTTTTTCAAACTTGGCAGATTACTCCTATTCAAGGAATAAAAAACATGATACTCCTATTTTGGAATTTCAAAACGTTTTTGCTCCTATTTAGGGCAATAGTCGAATATTTTTTGGAAACTTTTGTTGAATTTGCCTCATTTAATTTTTATAATCTGATTTTTATTTAGTTTTTAATAATAAAAAATTAAATATAATGACGATCAAAGTTGTGCATTGGCAAGAGTGAAAATGCGAATGTTGAACAGAGAATAGGAAATATATATAAGATTAGGAGTATGCATGTTTAGTAATGTTAAATAGTAGAATTAGCTCATTCTTAATAACATATATAAAAGTTAGATTTACTATATTACCACCTTTATTTTATTAATTAGTTTTTATATATTCATTTAATTTTTTTAAAACAGTTTAATACTTAATCAATAATCACGTTCATTTTTGGTAAGTTTTACTTTCATTTTCATCTTTAATTACTTTCTACTTTTTAACATTTTCATCGTCTCTTTAATATTCCCTTTGCCCCAAATCAATTGTCTTGCTTGATTTGGCAAAAATTTTAATAAAGTGCACGTGGTTGAAATGGTAAAAACTAGAAATTCAGATTTGACTATACAAAGGTGAAATGTTATGAGCTACATATTTGTGCCAAAATAAGAATCAAGACAATTATTCGAGTAGTAAAATTAATATACTTTCTTCTATTTTTTAGATGTTTTCTAAGTTGTTCATTACACCGAATGTTTCACAGAATGGCAGAAATATACGGAGTAACGATTAAGAGTAGAATTGAAAAACATTAATTTAGACAAACACTAAGAGTTTAGTATTCACAAGCACCAATAACAGTAGAAATTTAACCACATCACTAGAACTCACTGGATAATAGTACATCAAACATATTTTCACCATATCA